ATGTACATCCGGAAGGAGGTACTCAATCCATCTCCCATCGATCCAACCTTCTTTGACAACCCGGATGATGTCTTTATTTCGGACCCTCGACGCCACAACATCAGCCGTAAAAAATGGCATGTCTAGGTCTCCACTCATGGCAGCCAAGGAAGCCTCCACCAGTGAAGCGGCGACCCCACATATGCTGCCCCCCGTAAAAGGAATCTTATTAACTTTTTATTCAATCATACGATCGACGCTGTCAAAGTCATCGCCAAAATCATCGCTTGGTCCGGCTACGTGTTCTTCTACTTTCCTTAATATTGAGTCGCTATCTGACGAGGAAGATGACCATGAAATCTCCGCCATGGAAGGGGAGTCTGGTCATACAACGGACGGGTCCTCTCGACCGGTGGGTTTTGGGGCCATTGTTCTGGTGGTAAGAAAGATAATGAGCTAAGTCAAAATCCTTTGTCGAGAGGAAGGAGTAAACGACGACCATTCTAAACGACGATTGCTCAATTACCACTAGCACCTCTCAACATAACGTTGACCATTCATATAAAAATGGTATCGACGAATGTTCATAACAACCGAGGTTCATCAGAACCCGGGAGTCAGAGACTACAATCAGCCAGAAATCAGAAAAACTATCCTACGTGGGTCAAACAAAGCGCATGGTAAGTCTCTATCCTCTACATTTCACATATTAACATGCGTATGGTTCAATAGGAAAGCCAGTAAAATCATCAAGCAATACAAACGAGCAATCGTTAAGCTTACCAGTGAGTCAGAATCTTGGCAAAATCTGAGAATCGAGATAGCTTTACGAGGCACCGAGAAGAGCAAGGGATGCAAGTCGGAATCTACAAGAAATAATTCAGGCAGAGTAACGGCAGTTCAAGAAGTTTGGGAAAAAATGGCTTCGGTTCGAGGAGTATTTAAGGGAAAGCAAGTCCTCGACCCCTAACCGTTAGATAAAGTTCATAAAATCCAACGGCAGGGGCATTTTGTCCATATCTGACGGCAGAAAACAAATGCGGGAAGATGAAGGGGCACGATCCAAGGGCTCGTATTCGTCTTTTCAAAATAAAGCCTTACGTCAGCCTGGTGAAATGACCGACGCGACGGTTACGTTCCTCGAAGAAATCCAAAGCGTCAAGACCATCATTGCGGAGGAAGGCTCAGAGTTAGGTTCCCACACCCGAGGCATAGAAATACACTCGAACCTAGCTTGAGGCTATCTAAAGGAAACCCTCGACCTGGGGGCAGCTGTTGTGTGAGAAAATATGGGTGACATATGGAGCAGCGACAGCGTGGCACGTGGCCCTACTTTTCCTCAAAAGGTGACAAACCTCGACGCTTGAAGCTCGCTTCCCCTCTACGTTGCAAAGAAGGCCTGACTTAGGGCGTCGACCCGGCATACCGTCGACCAGTCGTGCCGTCGATCTTATGGCAACAAAATTCCTATGTCTGGAAAAGGTCGACTGCCAAGAAGGACATACGGTCTACACAGCGTAGACAACGAGGGGAATACTCTTCAGAAATGAGCCTGACATCACAAGTTGTGTCTAGGGATGGGAGATGTCTGCAGTACAGGCATTAATTGCAAATCCCTAAACCGCCCTACAGTAGACAGTGAAGGATTACAGGAATCTACAGAGCCATAATGAAAGACTAATTGGCTGAGTGAACAGTTCAAAAGGTGATTAGTGGGCTACGGTCTGGGCTTAGAAAGGTAGGCCACTCGAGTACTTCTACTTACAAAGGAGAACCGTCCATGAAGGAACCTTGAGCTATAAAAGGGGCAAAGCCCCATACACGAGAGGGAGAGATTGGCTTCTTTAATATTCAATCAGAGGAAGGATAATGATACATGTAAATTGTAAGAGTCCCAAAGGAAATACAAAATTACAGTGGATGTAGCTCTTGATTAACGGAGTGAACCACTATAAACTTTGTGTGTTCTTACGTTGAAACACTTTCTTTCGTGTACTTTCTTTACCACCAAAGTGCACCACACACGCAGTAGCAATTATTTCATTTCTACAAACAATTCTTGGCCGGTAACCTCACGGGATACCAGGAGGACCCGGCGTAACCCTGTTGACGAAATTTGACCGTCAAACCAGCATTTTTAAAAAAGATGAAACACCAGAGAAACTCTAAAAAATAAAAGGAAAAAAAGCGTTCGGAGTAAACTACTCGTAAATATAGAGAATGACAATAATGTAGGGTTTCTATAATATTTTTTGAAATTAAGAGTGCGTTTGGTTCAAGAATTCGTGTCATGGTTCGAATCATGGTTCGTTGCTCACTATAGTATTTTCTCTCATAAAAACACACATAAATTGAGAATGGTTCTAAATCATGATTCTGAATCTATCAACCAAACGTCCTTTAAATGACGCGTTATTTTTTTAGGGTAAAACAGAGAGACTTTCATTTAAGGGCACTCGAACAAATCAATATAAAAAATACAACTCGAGCTTTCTTCAAGCCAATATCTATCAAAAGAAGACGATAAAAAGATAGCTTAGCAAGTGGGTGGGTTTTGCTTTACATATATCAATGTATCATAATTATTAAAATCTTATTAAATAAGCTATATAATATTGATTGTCGGATCATATCATAGTTTGATTTTGAATAAATAACTATTAGACGAAATTTTGATCAATTTAATTGTTATGGCCGACTCAAGGAAAAAGCAACTAGCCGGATTAGGGCACGCATGACTTGAAGGAAAGGAATTAAACACCTTTTTTTTTAATTAATTGAGTTTTTGTAAATACGAAATGGATTTCACTCTCGAAGAAACAATTATTTGATTGTAAACTTTAGATAAAGGTTGCTTAAAGATATAATAACACCCCATCAAATTAAAACTCAATCAAAGCCATTAATTCAGGATTTCTTACAATGAAGTGTCGTCTAGTCAGTAGTCACACGTCTGTAAAGCATAATCATAACTTTATTTTGTCATGCACAGTGTAAAGATGATTGGAGTTTCCTTTTTTATTTATTTAATTATTTTTGCTTTTTAGTAGATAAGAAATGCACTATAGCAAAATTATAGCTGGGTGTTATCTTATTATAACCGGAGGGAGCTTGTGATTTGGATCAAGGACTGTTTTTTTGGATCAAGAACTGTTTTGTTGGATCAAGAACTGTTTTTTTGGGATCAAGAACTGTTTTTTTTTTTTGGATCAAGAACTGTTTTTTTAGATCAAGAACTGTTTTTTTGGATCAAAATACTGTTGATTCTAATAACCAATTGCGCGAAAAATTGCGCAAGCATGGTATATGATCATGATCAAGAGTGACAGGTCATTAGGAACAATTCTTTTTTTTTTTTGTTCTCTTATTTATTTATTTATTTATTTAAGAGCTAATCAGGAAAAAAAGATGATTGGCCATTAGGTCATCTCTCTTACGTTACTGTTGAGATTGAACACAATGTACATTTTCCCTTGGACTCTATGGAATGTTGCTTAATTTGTGTTAATAATTAGCTCATAATGCAACATTTGTTATTATATGGATGGATCTAAGAACCAAAACAACCCAAATGTCAATTTTTATTGAAACGGTGTACCACTCAAACAAAATGACGTGGTACAATTAATTTGATAAATAATTACTCGTTGAATTTTAAATGTTCGTATAAATAATAATACCATTAATCCCTCTCTTAAGAAATTAGGCCATTGAAGTTTGGCATAATTAAGTGTAATGGCAAAATTTTCATTTGAGCCAAATTTGGATATCATAGAGAGTTTCTACATATGGAGAATAATTACATGCAATGCCGCATTAATTTGTTATAGTACGGAGTCACAAATTTTAGGAGACAAACGGCGCTGTTGACTGTGGTATATGCGACCAATAATATCACGTGACCTTTTCCATTGATCTTAGACAGCTTGATACTTGATCAGTTGATCAATCCAAGGAGAGTGTGAAATTAGGTAACATGATGTGGTGGACGGTGAGGATCGTGATATATAAATATTCTATCCTACCTAGAAAGTGAATTATTATGGAATGTGGAACATATATATATATATATATGTAAGGTCTCTGGTCAGATACTTAAAAAATACTTAATTAGAACGACAGTTGTATAATTTAGGGATTTCTTATACATTTACATAATTTGAGAGTGTTCGTGCGTTTGAGAAAGGGAGAGGTCTTTTGAGAAACAAACTTTTATCTACACCGTCTAAATTTCAATCCAACGGTCACAATTACTGAACGGATCAGTCATGCATATATATATATATATGTATATATAGCACTGCTAATAGATTGAGACCACTTATCTTTTTTGAACATCATCTGGCCCACCACATTTTACCATTGATGTTAACAAACTCAAACATGAAAGCATGAAAAATTCAATAAAAAAAAATTTTTATATTTTTAAATGACACTAATGATTAGACACCATTTTAGAAATATTACAATTGGACAGACGATCTAAGTGATACACATTAAACAATAAAAAGCTTTAATTAGTGATTAAAAAATTTCAACACGTTTTCAACTTTGAGAAATTTTAAATTTTACCTAACGTGTGGGTGAGTTATATTATAATGTTATTTATGACGGCGGGACTTTTGACGACGGTTTTCTACCGGAACCGAGGGCGGTCTGTATTTAACCTTTGTGATGAAAATGTCGCTCATATGATAACGAAATGATGGTGAACATACTAACAAAAGTAGAGATTTTGCAACCTGGAATATCGATCGAAATAGACAAATTTTGTAGAATTAGCGCATGTGATGAATATTGCACAGATATAAAGATCATTAAGATATACCAATGACAACTTTTGAAATGGTCCCCTTTTTGTAATAAAGTTACTCACTATCTTGACCACACACGTCTTCACAAGAAGACCCATGAGGGTTTTCTTTTCCCTTCAATATGGAGCTTATATAAAAAGCCCTTTCAAGTGCTTTTGTTTTCTCAAAAATTCTAGTAGTACTTCTACATGAAGGAATTCATAATCAGCATTTCCCAGAAAACACAATAGAAATTATATACATATATATATATATATATAATATTGTACTCAAAATCTGTTTTTATTGATTATTATATTTATATTTATGATTATGGAGGGAATGAAGAAAACTTATGTGGTTGTTATTCTTATACAAGCAATTTATGCCGGCATGCACTTGCTCTCCAAGGCAGCTTTTGGTGGCGGTATGAACAATTTCGTCTTTATTTTCTATAGACAAGCCACTGCCACTGCCTTTCTACTTCCTCTCGCTTTGTTTCTTGAATGGTAAGAAAGATTTATTTTCAATCTTTTTATTTCTTTAATTTCCTTTTTTCCGCTTCCGAGTCAATCAATAAATCAATCAATCTTTTCTTTTTTCTAATTTCTTTCTTTTCTGTATTTCTTTTTTTTTTTATTAATATAAATTACAGTATCGGAGATCTGATATTTAGGATGAATTGCTTAGTGGGTATCAAACCTCGTTGGAATATTCTAAACTTTTGTTACATGAGATATCCTCCCTCCATTTACAGGGAAAACAAAAAAAAAAAAAAAACAATATTCAATTTTGTTTAACCTAATTATTTTCGGATTTTGGCCTTAATTGTTGCAGGAAAAATGCACCAAGGCTTTCGTTTGTGACCTTCTGCAAGATTTTCCTGCTTTCTTTATTCGGGTAATAATTAGATGCCTATTTATATACAATATATATGCATATATGTCCGATTATTTCTATCGGTAAGATTTCAAGTATGAAAACATGTGTAGTTAAAAGTACAGTCAAATAATTAGAGGGACATGATTAAAAATTATTATGAAGAAGGAAAAGGAAGAAAGAAAATTAGAGAGTGGTATAGGGTATATAATATTACGCTTTTGCACATATTTGAAATTTAAGGAATATTTTGTTTGGCCATTTGTTTTTGCAGGATAACTTTAAGTTTGGATATCTATGGCCTTGCGCTAGTGTATACCTCGGCTACTTTGGCTGCTGCTACTACAAACTGTCTTCCAGTCATTACTTTCTTCTTGGCAGTTTTACTCGGGTAATTAAACTCAGAAAAAATTTAAACTCAAATTACAACTTTATTCAAGTTTATATTTTTTTAAGTTCTAATTTTATTCAACTTTATTCAAATTACAACTTCAACTCAAGTTATAACTCAAAAACCACACTCAAGTCACACTCTTTTGCAACAAAACTCAGAAAAAATTTAAACTCAAGTTACAACTTTATTCAAGTTCACGCTCTTTTAAGTTCTAATTTTATTCAACTTTACTCAACTTTATTCAAGTTACAACTTTAACTCAAGTTATAACTTAAATTCAACTCAAAAACTACACTCAAGTCATACTTCAAAAGAACAATCTCAAATTTTTCCATTTTCACATATATATATATATGTATATATATATATGTATTTTGAAATGTGTTGACATGATGTTAAGAAAGTGAAATACTAGTTTTAAATCTTCACAATTAAGAGTCAAAGTTTGTTATGTATGCGCTTATATTAGACATACATTCTGTACCATTACCTACATAATTTAATAGTAATTTTATACATGATTCTATGATAAAGTGTAAATTTTGAATTCTCCATGTTAAGTTCAAAACAAATATATATATATATATATATTCATATATCAGTCTTGTTTTATTTTAGAGCGCCTAGTCATAGGAACATGATATATACTCATGGGAGGATTTTTGTTTTGTTCCTTTTGTTCTCTTTTTTTTTTTTAATTATTATAGACATATAGAATATTTGGGTACATTTCTCAGTGTACATGAATTTTTTTACTGTGATAAACTTTTTCAAAAGATGAAAAGTATTTTTTGTGATCTATTGCACGTAGACGGCAGTAATTATAATGGGGTAATAATTACGGTTGTTTGGAACTGTAGATCCAAACAAGACATACATTTCGGTTCAAATGTCATCCTCAAGCCCACATCTGCAAGACATTATCTGTCCCTTCCATTGTCATATTTATCCTGTATTTATGGAAATATGCGTGCCATATGGATTTGTCTGAAAAGCTTCGTTGGAAATTAAAAAACGTTTTTGTTATTGAAAAATAAGAGGGGGAAAAAGACAGAATTAAATCAAGAGTTTGGTCAGTCCAAGACAAGGTTCATGTATGTCTATATACAAAGTAAACAAAAAGCAATATGTGTGTGTGTGGGATCTTTATCACCAGTGTATATATTAGTTAAAAGAATCTATATAGGTATATATAATATATACAAATATACAAAGCTTTTTTTGTCCTCCATAAAATGGGAACCTTTGATTTTAATCCCCTTAATTAACAGAGGTATAATATGTATATATACCTGCCAAAAGCTTTTGAACACTTGCCCAAGTGAAAAAGTCTCTCGCCTATTTAGACAAGTATTGATACTGACAGTAAGATCTTCTCAAATATAGAGTGTGTTTAGAACTCATTTTAAAATGATTTTATTTTTTGTATGAAAATACAAATAAAAATATTTTCAATCTCAGACATAATTATTTTTAAAAATGTGTTTGGTAGTTTTATCAAGAGATTATTTTTAGTATAAAAAAATTCATTAATCTCTCTCTCTCTCTCTCTATGCTCGAGAGAGGAGAAAACGGAAACAAAAAATGAAAAACGACTAAAAGTCATTTTTCATTTCTCTCACATTTTACACTAAACTAAAAAATCGTTTTCATTTCTGTTTTTTGTCTTTAATTGTATCAAGCACCGTTTCTCTCCCATTTTCATTTTGTCTTACTCGAAAAACGTGAAAAATAAAAATAAAAAAACTAACTCCAAACACGGCCATAAATTATTATGAACTCGAGAAACAACTTTTGAACTAAAAATTCAAAAATTGCTTCTAAAAAAGGGATGTCAAACAAGGAAATTTTAGTTTCAAGTTGCTTGCTTTGAGATCTAATTATCAAAGCCATTTAGGTTTTTTGTTCCAAATTGTAAATTTAGTGTTATGACGTATTGTACAAGAAATAAAATGTAAAACTTTATAAATTTTAAGGTCAAAATGCAATTTTTTAAAATTTTGTTAAAAATAATAATTTTTAAAACTTTTAGGGTCAAATTTTAATTTTTAAAAATTTTGGGGTCAAATATATTTTTTTTGAAAATTTTAGGGTCAACTTGCAAGTTTTAAAAATATATGAATTTGCATTGTGCTCCTCAATTTTTAAACAATTAATTTTTTTATGTAACCCTATATCGACCTGACCTCGACCCCCAATTGTACCCAGTCACGATATAGATCATAGACCCAATATAAAATAATACAATACAATACATTAAAAATAAACCGCATTCTATAATACGACATAAACCATATTAATTTACGATACGTTTTAGTTTATACAATACAATGGTCACACCAAACACTATATTAATACCTAATTATGTTGAATTTTAACCTTGAAATTCAACCAAACTCACCTACTCTAGAAATTGGCATGAAAATATGACTATATATATATGTTGTTTACCATGAAATTAGGATTGAAGTGTTGAAGCTGAGAACAAAACCAGGAGTGGCAAAGCTCATTGGCATAATAATCTGCATAGCTGGAGCTGCTTGCCTTGCCTTGTACAAGGGACCACATTTCAGATTTCATTTTAGCCCTTTTGGTCACCACCATAATGTTCAACAACCACACCATCTTCCTACAAGCAAAACTTGGGTCAAAGGTTGCTTTCTTATGCTCCTTTCCAACTTCTTTTGGGGCCTATGGCTTATTTTTCAGGTACCTTTTCCTTTTATAGAAACCTATAAATATATACTTATATATATATATATGAGTATGATTTTAATGGTTATCTTATTCATCAACAAGTATTATTATTTTAACCGTGTGATATTGATTAGACAATATTGTTATAACTTGAAAAATATATGACAACTAATGAGTAGATTTTTATCAAGTCACATTATCAAATTTTTATATTTGATGGATAACTACGGGCGGAAACATAGTCATTGAAAACTCATCGATATGCATGCATATATGGTCAAACACATGTAGATATACATATATGTAAATATATATATATATATTATATACACTCAAACAGTAAAATTACATTGGCACTGATTATTGAATTTTCAGGCTACAAAAAAACATAGTAAAATTAGCAAGCTTGATAGCTTTAGTGCCAATATATGTACCAATTGTTTATGAAGCGTTATTATGAAGCGTTATGAGCTATGATAAGATCTATAACTTTAACAAGCTTGAAGCGTTATGAATTATGAGTTATGACACGATCTATATATATATATATATATATATATATAAGTACCAATTGTATATTAGATTTTAGTATAAATTTGATTGTTTTCAGTATTTATATTGGAATGGTATTGTTGTATATGCAGGCACAAATAATGAAGAGCTACCCATCAAAGCTTCTATTCACAGCTCTGCAGTGCCTTTTGAGCTCAGTTCAGACCTTTGCCATTGCCATTGCCATGGAAAGACGCCCTTCTGAGTGGCAGCTTGGATGGAATGTCAGACTTCTTGCCGTCACTTACTGTGTAATGTTTCTCCCTTGCTTTCTTATGAATAATGGAAAAATCTTTTACCTTTTTAAGATTCTCTATTATCAATTTAGGATTTGTTCATTTTATAAATTCAACTTTTTAATTTTAAATTTTTAAAGTTAAAAGTTCTCAAAAAATATCACATTTATTATTTTTTTTTTGCTACAATTAAAAACTCTCAAAAAATAACATATATTAACTCAAATTAAAAATTTAAATCCGTAAAACAAACGAAACTTTATGCTATATAATTCATTAGACATGCAAGAAGGCTCTAACTTGACTGGCCCATTTAGGCCTGTGCAAGTCGGCCCATGTAAGACGAACTTTTGGTCCAGTCTGCATCACGTGTCACTTTTTCATGAGGTCAATTTTTATAAACTACATTTTAAAATGGAGCTTTCTTTTATTCTACCCTTTAATACTAGCCATATATTTTTACTTTTTAGACTAACATTAGTTGAGAGATAATTTTTTTAAATGAGATATTTTTAATAAGTCAGATACTCCATGAGATATAATCTGTAATTTTTTATTCTCTTCTTGTGAGTCAAGTTGGACTATGACTAGAGCTGAAAATTCGGGCCGCCCAGCCCGGCCCGAGCCCGGCGGCCCGAAAGGGTAGTTCGGGCCGGCCCGGAGTTTTAATCGGGCGGGGCCGGCCCGGCCCTAAATAACTTTCTATAGGCCCAGCCCGGCCCTAAGGCCCGACGGGCCTAGGGCCGGGCTATTTCGGGCCGGGCTGGCCCGAATCGGCTCAGCCCGAGCATGATTTATAAAAAATTTTAAAAAAGATAGTGAAATTTATAATAACTAGTGAATATTGTAAAATTGTAATGGAATAAAACTTTATTTATGTAATTATAACTGCCCCATTAAAAACCTTACCAAGAAAAACCCATTGGGCTAAAACCTTGGTAAGCAAAAAAGAGTGCAGTATTATTTTCACAGTTATAATTTATATATACTTAAGAAACAAAAATATCTAACTGTCTGGTACACTACTCCCGGCATCAGAAGCGTCATCATCAATGTATAAGTTTTGAAATTGATCCATTAAATCTCTGTCTTCGGCTGTGTATTACATTCGCAAAGAAGCATTTTCCCAATCTTTTAGACATATTAGCACTTCAACCATTTCTGGAGTCAACATAGTCCTTCTGTCTTCAGCAGTTATATTACCGTTAGGCCAAAAACAAAAATAAAAATAAAAATTAGGCGTTTGGGCCATTTCGGGCCATTCGAACTATTTCGGGCCAGGCTATTCGGGCTCTCCGGGCCGGGCTCGGGCTTGGAATTACGGCCCAGCCCGGCCCTAGACTAGGGCCAGGCCGGGCTCAGGCTCGTACATATTCAGGCCGGGCCGGGCACGGGCCCACAGTAACGGGCTTCGGGCCGGCCCGTCTAACCCGGCCTAAATTTTCAGCACTAACTATGACATTAGCTAAGATGGGTTCGTCATGGACCTTCATCCGGTTGGCCCATCCTAACATGTCCAGAGTCATGGTGCGTCAACTCATCTTAACCAGTAGTTTTCAATTTTCTTTTTTGGTAAAGTAAAATTACTATAATAAATATAGGGGTGGCAATTCGTGTTAACAGGTCGTGTTCGTGTCGTGTTGAACTCCTCAGTTGACACGAATAGGTCTGACACGAACACGACCCGTTTATTAATCATGTCAAAATTCTAAACCCAAACACGACCTGTTTATTAGCGGGTTGACACGACACGACACGATTAACCCGTTTATTAAACAGGTCGTAAACGTGTCATGTCAACCCGTTAAGTACCTGTCAACACGTTTACGAAACGGGTCATAAACGGGTCGTGTCAACCCGTTAATTACCTGTCAACACGTTTATGACCTGATTATTGTCAACACGTTTGAACCTATATCATAACCTATTTCAGAACCTATTTTTGAATATGTTTCTCAACCTGTTTAACATGATGTAGAGACATTACATAATCTAAGTTCAAAATTAAAACAAACACATTAGAGTCTCTAACAAATTAAAAAACAAACACATAAAAGTCTCACAATTTAGAAAACAAACATACATGATTAATAATTAAATATTTAAATAATTTGCTACAGTGGGGGGACTCCAAGTGCATCATTACGTTTAGGAGAAGTTGATCCCTGTGAGAAAGGCTCCTCTTCTTTCAATGAAAAGTTGAAGATATCTTGTGTAAGATCCTCCACCTCTTCATTGAAATCTACACAAAAACAAATATATATAGATACAAGTTAGTTCAAAATCAATATAGAAAAGATACATAATTTAAGTAAGTTTGAAACTACCTTTGTCTCCATATAACCAATCTCTGGTACAAACAAGTGCTTCAACTGTCTTTGGTTTAAGTGAGCTA